AGGTTGCACAGGAAAGTGTCCAGGTGGGTTTGAACATCTCCAGAGATGGAGACTCCACACCCTCTCTGGGCAGCCTGTCCCAGGGCTCTGGCACCCTCACATGAAAGAAGTTTTTCCTTAAGTTTGTCTGGAACTTCTGCTTCCAGTTTGTGCCCATTGCCCCTTGTCCTGTCATGGCACCACCGAGAAGAGCCCGGCCCCATCCATCTGACCCCCACATTTCAGATATCTCTAGACATTGATCAGATCCCCTCTCAGTCTGCTCCTCTCCAGGCTGAACAGTCCCTTTTTCTTTTGGCTGGGTGTGTTTGTTTCAACTTGTGCCAGGATTTTTCAAGTTCTGGAAGACCAGCATGTGCAGGGGATGGTCCTTCCCATCAGGGTCACCTGGTGGGGAACTAGGTGTTGAGGGAGATGCCTTCTCATGCTGGGATTGTTGGTTTCCTCCTGCTACAGCAGAAATTTAGGCTGTTAAGCTCCTGGCAAACTACTTTCATGGTTCAAGTCTCCTACCTGCTAAAGGCCAGCTTTGGTTTTTCTCCTTCATCATCTAGGTCCTGGAGCTCCTGAGGGTGGCTTGGAAGAGACGCCTCATTTTCACAGTGGGCACCTCCAACACCACCGGCGAGAGCAATACGGTGGTGTGGAACGAGATCCACCACAAAACAGAGATGGACACAAACCTGAGTGGCCACGGCTACCCTGACCCCAACTACCTGGACAACGTGCTGGCGGAGCTGGCCGCGCAGGGGGTCACCGAGGACTGCCTGAGACAATGAGCTGGGGTGGGGGCCCGGCTGTGCCGTGCACGTCTCGGGGGCCCACCTAGTGCACTTAATTCCTGTTGCCTTAAGTTCCTGTGTCTGACCGCCCGTCACACTGAGCAATAACACTGTCCTGTGGGATTTTGCCTGCTCTCCACGGTCTCTTTTTTGGGGGGAGAGTGGGGAAAGGCTGGTTTTGTAGAACCCACGCTTGCATCTCTGGATGGGGTTGGTGGCCATATCTGGGACTAGCTGGGAGAGTGGTCATGAGGTGACGGACCCCCTTGTGAAGGCAGGACCTTGCCCTGGTAATTCTTGGGGACAGGAATAGGGAGAGAGGTGTGTCTTGCTCCCGCTGGTGGAAGCAGAGGAGGGTCTCCCTGCAGCTCCCCGTCTCTGAGGCACCTCTGACAGCGAAGCCTCCTCCCTCCCACCCCTGTTATCTTTATTTGGCCATAATAAACTGCATTTCCATGGCCAGTTGCTGCTTTGCCTTCAAGCTGCTTGGTGGCTCTCTCTGTGAGACCAGCCTGCTCCCCAGAGCTGGGGACACTTGACCCAGCCAGGAGAAAGGAGGGAAAGCTCCACTCAGCTGGAGGGACACGGATCACTGCAGGGGCAGGATGTGGGGTGCTGGTCACAGGGGTTGCAGCCTGTTGGTGCTTCACCCACTGGAGCCTGGTGGTCTGTGGCCACAGTGCTGGCAGAGGTGACCCAGCAGTGTCTGTCCCGGGGGAGGTCACAGCCCCCTGCTCTTGCTGTGAGCTGCCATCCCTGCTCCTACCCTCCTGAAGCCATTCTGGCAGGACCTGCCCCTCTTTTCCCCGTCTCTCAGGTGAAATGGCAGCAGTTTGGGGCTGTTTGTGCCTGGTGAAGCCTCTGCAGGGTGGAGGCTGTTTAACCTCTTTGTGCTGCTGCTGCAGGGAGTGCTGGTGTCACCAGGCTGTGACAAGCCACCCTCTTCCCTGCCTCAGCTGGCTGGTGGCAGTGTGGCAGCCATGCAGGGCTGTTCTCCAGGCAGGAGGACACTCCTGCACCATGAGCTCTGTCTGTTAGGAGTGCTGGCACCCTGCAAAAGGGGTGTTGTCCCAATCCTCGTGGCTTTGCTTTACATTGTCCCTGGGCTTCTTGTCACGGGGCTGCTAAAGCCTTTCTAAGAGCTCTTTCTGGCTCTTCCCATCTATGTGGGCACCAGCCCCAGCTGCAAGTCCCTGGAGCTCTGCCCACATTAAATCCCTTTGGCACATCAGAGGCCCTGGTGCCATCTGCCATTTCACCCCTTCACCAGGAGATCCAGGATGTGGCCGTGCTTTGTGGTAGCTGCTGGCTCCATGTTCTCCTGGCCCAGCAGAGAGGGACAGATTTCTTTCTGTCACACTAATTGTATTGGGTTTGCGTGGCAAGGTTTTGGTAGCTG